TTGGGAGAAAAAAAAATTCAGTTGACTAAGAAAGAAATTTTGTAATTAAACATGTAATAAATAACTACACCCTGTATATCAAAAAGTTGAACAACATCAAATTTTATAAATTAAAATAATAATCCCGTGACAGGTCTGCCAAATTAAAATTGTCGAACAAGAAAAATTCAAAATTTGTAAAATTGATCAACATTTTAAAAAATATCTATAATATTCAAAAAGTTTCATAAATATATGTTTATAATTTTTTGTACATGCAGCCAAAATGATCTACTGCATGTAACTAGTTGCCAGTTACATTATATAACTGGTTACGAAAAGTGTGGGATATTTAAATAATGAAACACTTAATTCCCAACAATTATTCAATATACTCGATTTAAAAGTACAAAGCGAACTGCTGTGAAACAAGCCAGCATTATTCAAATGTAAACAATGTCCGTAAAAACCAATGCAAAAAGAGTTCTTCAATACACAGTGGCGTAGCAATAATTTATTCCCAATATACCACAAAAAGTTTCGTTATTAAGTCACCAGTTGCGAAAAGATAAAAACAAACCTTTTCGGTTTTAAAATTGCTTTTAAAAGTTATATCCAAGAAAGGAAGGTTGGCTATATAAAAGTATATTTTGTTAATGAACTGACAATTAGTAATAATTCTATTTCGGTCCCTATTTCACATCCTAAATATACAGAAAATAATTGTTCCATTTAAAAAAATATTACTGCCATTATAGTTGCATAATCACTTTTCAACTCCCGCTTTAACCTTCATACTATAACGGATATCTGGCGGTCACTAACTCTTACTCTACTACATTTCTGTTACACCCTATATGTTTATTATAAGGAATAGAAGGGATCAAAAGTTATTTTCTACCCTCTGGTATATATGCTATTTTTTTGAACTACATGTTGGAATTATATTTTTATTTTGAAGGGAATTGAGCGCACTTCGATAATATACCGTCTTCTTTATTTTTACTGCAAAATATCTAATAACGAAAAAAGTAAAAAAATAATCGGTTTCCTTTCAAGATGAAGCGGCAGCGCAAGAATAAATAGGTAATGTAATAAACCGCGCTTCCAATCATTTTTGCCAAAGAACAAAATAACAACTGTAATTTCCACTTCAAATTGGAAGCTATTTATAAACTGGAACGTTCCGTCTTCAAATAAAAGAAATAAAAGCCAATTTATAAAAAAGTAATTAGGTGTCTGAAAATCGGAAGGATTTATCCAAGCAATAATACAAAAAATGCAGTTTTAATCTTAAATACATTCGTAGCTGCTAAATAGTTCCTTCATATTATTTTTGCATTTACTGTTTTTGTCATTCTTTCAGAATTAATTCTTATCATATGCATGGGCGTCGCCTGAATTTTTTCTGGGGGCATCTGTAAATGTAAGGTAGAAAATATGGATTGTCTTCATCAATCAGTCTCTCTACAGGACCCGTTGTGCATCCACCAGGGGCATATAGAGATTGCCTCTTAGCTCGTCAAAGAGCCAGGATAGCACAACGTTAATATTAGAAATAATTTAACTTTAACCATGCCTCGTCATTCTACTGCAATTTTTAATCGCAGCTTTTCATACAATGCCGTTGTTCTGTACAACAACCTGAACACATCTTTAAAAAATTCAAAATATCTAAATGTTTTTAAAAATACATTAAAACGACAGCTCTTGGTCTCCCAAAGTGTTTAAGTGCAATTGTTTAATTTTTTTTTTTTTATCTCGTTTGTTCTTTTTGAATAAACACACTTAGGTAATTGTTTTTCTTTTCAAATGTTTTACTAGAATTTGCTTATTGTAAAAAATGTATTTATTATTTAAACTATGTATAGAATTTATAGGGTTAGATGTAAGAATAGCCTTAGGCTAAATCTCGCCCAGGCAAATGTACATTTCTACATATTTTTTGTATTTTTGGTATGTACAAATAAAGGCCATTTATTATTATTATTATTATTATTATTATTCACTAAGTCATGGGAGCGCTCCCATGGGAGTGTTCCCATATATTTTGCTCTCTTACTCTTAGGTGGGTATATCGTGCTTACTCACTTTTAGCCCAGGTACATGCGTAGTTAGGTCGGAGTAAGAACGATATACCCACCTAAGAGTAAGAGAGCAAAATATATGGGAACACTCCCATGGGAGCGCTCCCATGACTTAGTGAATAGCTACTCAGGTGGTGCCTTGAGATGCCCCCATTCAACTCTACTCAGAGTTTTCCACCCGAACTCAGCATTGAAAGGGTCATATAAATATCTGTAATATATAGTAGACGGCATATATAAATTTTACTATTCCACAATTAAATAGTATTATTAATATATCTATACATAATTTACAAAGAAACCGACTGACGTTCATCTTAGAAAACACAGTTGTCAAACTGTAAAAATAAAATGGTGCGATCAATTCTATTACAGTGTATATAATCGAAGAAGGAAATTATGGGAATAATGTGATAATATTTAAATACGTATAACATTTCCTCTTTAAAGCGTAACATACAGCTAATAGTCCGTCCCTGGGTCGCCGTTAAACGTGTTTTTATACGATATTCTTTGTTTTGCCGAAAAAAAAAAAGAATATCTTTACATCCAGATATACGTATTATTCACAAGGGTATAGCCTGTGTTATCTTATTTGACAATTTTATTTATCTGAACAAAAACATTAGGCGTAAAACATAAACTAAAATAAATAGACAGTGCAAAAACAGACAGTATTAAAGCTTTTGCATGTTCGTTCATTAAAAATGTTCCCTAGACACATGAATAAGCTGCATCAAAACAAAAATAAACGTTGCTTTAACATACGTTTTAACCAAAGCGGCGTGAGCTGCAACGGTGTCAGCAAAACGACACAAAATAAACCTGATATACATGCCTAATAATAAAAGCTCCAGAACGGAGTCAGTGTAATGTATTTCTCTAGAATCATATTCATTTAGAGAACTGCATGACCTAATTAAGACGGTGTAGGATGCCGCCATAATAGATATAAACGAGCTACAGAATTGCAAACGTATTTGCGTTCTGAGTACACCTATTTAACAGTGGTTATCACCGCTACATTCAATATTAGAATTGAATTTCCCGTGTAAATGTGTCACGAAAATTAGGATTGAGGATGCGGTATATAGAAAGTTTAAAATTGAGGAGTTGGGGTATCTTCAAGTGAATTAAATAAAGTAGAATGGATTACCCATTTCACAAATGTGGTCAATATAATATTCAGAGAATAAAAATAAGAGTTTTGTTTTCTTCGAGCAGCTCGGGGGGTAATAACCCTTTGACCCTCCTTGTATCAGCGCATGCATGTATCCTTGTATTGGAATAGGGATAAAATGTGACGACTTATTAAAAACTCTGAAAGACACTGCTCTTGATGTATTTATGAACTACACATTTTGAGAAATTGATGCCATATTTGCATAGTTACATCACGCCCTTTAATTTTAGTAATGTCGCTGAGCGAATCAAATTGTGGTCTTCACCGAATTGTTCAAAATTAGGTTCTCGCGGAGTTAAAGTATCTCGCATTCTCTCTAATGGGAATATTATTAGAGAAATTTAACATTCATGAGTCGGAAAGTCACATTGTTGGATTTTTGTTGTACCCACTCTGTGACATTTGAAATTAAATCATTCTTAAATGTACCCTACATCGTAAACTAACGTTGCAACAGAATTTATATTTTAAATTGGTGAAGTTGCAGTAGACTAAAAATAATCTTCTAAAAAGCCAGCCGTCCATCATAGTAAACGGGTGCCAAAACAATATGGAAAAGGGTGTCAAAAAGTTTTTAGACGAAAGCAAAACTATGGTAGAACTATTAAATGTTATTTATTATTAGTTGTATTCTTTTCTACAAAATAAAAATTGTTGTGTAAATGGACATTGAAATAAAAGTATTGAAATGATTGGGAGCAAATACTATTCCTGAATGGTAGATATTTCACATACATTCGAGGGTTCAATATTTAGATTTGTAATTCATAGGAAAGAATAGATGGGAAATGTCTACTGTAATCAACCATTCAGAAATAGTATTTGCTCCCAACATTATGGTCCTTCGAGCCGAATTTTTAACACTCACAATTCACATAAGACACACTTAGTATGGGTTTTAAATTGTGTAAGGAAAATGGCGGCTGCCGTTTCTCTTGCGGCTTGCACCAACTGCTCTTCTTCCTGACGTTTTTCGACTCGTCTTCTGTCGGTAACAATTGCACCATCGACCCGATATCGACCCATCACTGGAGAAAAATAGCATTATTGTTGTTTTTCAACAAAAATATAACTGCGATATTTTAGATGTTCTTCGACCCAGTGCCGACTAGAGGGGGGTAGCCGGGACTAATTCCCGGGGCCCGTACTCAAAAGGGGGTCCGGCAGCGGTATAAGGGAGGCCCGGCAACTGGTTTTTTTTTTGTTTTGTATGAGAAATTCGACACAAGACGAGAGGGGGAAGTTTTAGGTTGGGGAGCTGTTTTTTTTTAAGAAAAAGCAAGTCAAGTAGAGGAGGAAAACTTTTAGCTCGAGCAGATTTTTTTTTTAGAAAATTGAATCCAAGTAGAGAAGGAAAAGTTTTTGTTTGAGGACCTTTTTTGTTTTAGAAAATTCAATTCAAGCAAAGGAGGAAAAGTTTTTGTTTGAAAAGTTTTTTTTTTTTGTCACGGGGCCCGATCTAGAGAATTGTCCTGAGGTCCGGCCTGGCTCTCGGAGGCCCTGCTTCGACCAAATGTAGACAGGGCTCTTAATATGGCGTATTCTCCAGAAAAGTTGCGGCTTGATAAAAAAAGATAATCTAGTAGAAAACAATTCATCAAAGTACAACAACAGAATGGCTTGGAAAATGTCTTGTTTTTATTTATTTTCTCCACAGTTCCTTAACCAAATCCGATTGTGTAACCCTTGGGGCGTTATTCATATATAACTGTGATTGAATAAATGTTTAGAACTTACAATTTTTGTTTCAGGATCAAGTTGTGATGTAGCAATAAGTAGCGACACTAGTAGAAACGGCACTATAACGAGTCCGTCGTACCCTTCGCCGTATCCTGCGAAAACGACGTGTACTTACGAATTTCAAGGTAGAGGAAAGGAACGAGTACAGGTTGTCTTCCAGGACTTCAGTTTATACATTCCTAACGGAAACTCTAAAAAGTAAGTTTACACGATGTATTTCTTATATGGATATGCCTAGTTCTGTATTAAACATTCGGTTAGTCAAAAAATAACTAATCGATAAAGTACAATACAAAATAAATTTATTTTTTCAGTTGTGATAATTCGGATTCGTTAAGTATCTTTATTCACATCGATGGTCGAATAGAGAAGATTGACAAATTTTGTGGTACAAATTTGCCCAAACCCGTAATGTCAAACGGACCACGATTAAAATTGGAATTTGAGAGTTTCTACACTTCCAGATATTCCAGAGGATTCAAAGCAACGTATGCTTTTATGGAAAGTAAGTAATTACAAATATTTTCTAAGAATACTAAACGGGTAACAATCATAGATTTTTTTTTCGTCACCCACGTTAGGGTTTATTCCTGTCAGCTGGAAGCGAAGTGGACTGTAGTTGTGTAGAACTTGTAGAATATTTGATTTATTGGTTTTTGGAATGGTGAAATTAAATAATTACTTTTGCTACTTGTTTATTTTTAACGCTATAAACTTTGTCTTGGATCACATTACAATTTTTATATAATTTTATAAGTGTTTCATAATGAACATAGATATCTTTATTCTGTTTCAAAAAGGTGTTATTCTGATGGAGGTTGAAATAAGTCTTACTGTTTGTTCGTCCAGTGTGGTGTGTGAAGGTTAATACTTGTGTGGTACTATTTTAATTGGTCTAGGAAACGGCTCATATGTTTGGGTGTTGTCTTGGGATTGGCCATGAAGAACGTGGCTTGAGAATTTTGCTAAATTAGTATGGAGAGAGATATATTGTATGTTGTAACTATTAAATAAATATATATATATATTTGTAGAGGAACCAAATATTTTTATTGTGCAAGCTAAAGAAGCAAAGGGGACATATTTTTACGTGGGGAAACCTAAGGGGTAAATATTTTTACATGAGTAGGCTTAAGGGGTAAACGGCTCAAATATTTTTAAACCCTAATAAAAATGCAACATGGAATGGTTCAAAATTAGAACCAGCAATGTAATGTAGAATACTTCGCAATTCTGTAAATTCAATTTCTTAATACTCTACCTCCAATTCCAATCAAATTGTTTCTCGAATTTTCCCGTGGGAACCACCTATTTAGCGTCTCTGGAATTTTTAATATAAACATTTTAAACGAAAGTCTGTTCGAACATATTCGAAATATCTGGTATATTGCCAAAGGTGCCAAGTAGAGGATATATCTAATGTTTATTTATGACACGATCCAACGTTACGATATTACCGATATCTAAAATATTTCAGAACTTTAACGGCAACGTAGGATTTAAAGGGTGATATACTCGCGTCGGCCGGGGTCATGATTCTTTCAGGACTTAAAGTGGAAATATATGCCGAGTCGAAAGATTCTACAAGTATTTATTAGGTAATTAAAAAATGGTTAATCTTGAAATGTTCATGTAAAAGAGCAACGTAACGTGGCAAATGTATTCTATTGTTGAAGATACGCTATTTTGAATTGAACTGAAGGAAGATATGATTTTTTTTATCACTTAAGGGCCTTTCTTAAAAATTTAAACAGTATATGTGGTATTTCGTTTAAAACATAATTTATATGGTAATAATATATAATAGGATATAGATTTTCGTATATACGAGGTATATATGTATTATTATATCGTGGAATACGAGGAATGTTCCGGGATATGCGCTATGAATAGGATATTGACAAGATATCCTGGGTAACATGTTCAGCCTAGGGTCATAACGAGTTGCTTCGCAAAAAGATATAAATAAATTGGGAAAAAATAAAAAAAAATAATAAATTACCTAACCTGCGTGCCTTTGAGCCATCGCGAGTTTTTACTAAAAAATATATATTGTTACGCAGCACCCTGCAGTAGCCTGCCGCTATTATAGGAAACGTACAAGTAGAAAAAGAAGTGGAATGTTATTCATCTTCAATATTGTTTACTGAAGTTTGGTTGCGAATTCTTTTTTCTAGCTCGGCCATTTCAGCTCTAATTTGTCTTTCCAACTCTACTCTAGTCTGTTCTTGTTGTTCTAAATTAGATTTCCAATTCTCCTGCTGTTTCTCTAAATTAGCTTTCAAATTATCTTGCTGTTTGTCTAAATTCGTTTTTAAGTTATCTAAATTAGTTTTTAAATTCTCTTGCTGCTGTTCTAAATTGGCTTTTAAATGATCTTGTTGTTGTGTTAAGAGATTCACTTGGCTATTTAGTTGGCCTACCCCTTGTTTAAGGTTTTCTTGAATTTGCAGCAAACCATTCATAATTTCAACCGCTTCTTTTCTACGCCTCTCTTCCTTCTCTTTTTCTTCATTCATCCTGCGTCTTTCCTTCTCCTCCTCTTCTTCCTTCCTTCCTTCCTTCCTACACCTTTCATTTTTCTCCTCTTCTTCCTTCCTACGCCTTTCCTTCTCTTCTTCTCGCCTTTCTTTTTGCTCCTCTTCTTCCTTCCTACGTCTTTCCTTTTCCCCTTCATCTTCAAAAACCATGCTGGTGGGCCTGAAGTATCCATGCCTGCTTTGTACTCAGTGGATCTAGTATTTACCATAAACTTTTATTTTATATCCCACCGCTGCTGTCACCAATTTTACACATGTTTTTGGTATCGCAATTTATTTTAACTCAACTTTAACAACAATTATGCAACTGATAACATTAACATGTAACGTTTATCATAAAACTGAAAACTGACGTCAGGATCATCCTTATATAGCTTCTCAAACCTTCGTCTAGAATATTCCTGACGGGTGGTGACATTTCTCGATATTTCTGGACTATTCTATCTTCTTTTAGTTGTGACGACCGCATCACACTGTAGGGCGATGAATAACATTCCACTTTTTTTCTACCTGTACGTTTCCTATAATAACCGCAGGCTACAGCGTAACAATATAAAATAAGAAAAACTCCAAAACTTTCTCTAAACTGGTTATCAATGCATTGTGACTCAAGTGAAATGTTCAAATATGTATATAAGAATCTTAACTAACAGTTATTTTTTATTTTTTTTTTTCAGATTTTGGAATAAAAACTGGTAGCCAGTTGTCTACTTACCCATGTGCCTTCGAATTTAACAGTAATGAGTCGAGAGACGGACACTTTTCCAGTCCGAATTATCCCGGCTTGTATCCCAGAGACACAGAGTGTCATTATTTTTTTAACGGTAACATGTCAGAACGAATTCGACTGCATTTCAACTACTTCGACGTGGAAGGAGTTTTACCGTAAGTTTCTATTGAAAACATATTAAACATTATACCGAATGACTGGAAATTACTTTGTGTTTCAAGATTGGTTATTAGTTTAAATTCCAAATTAAAATATTTGAAAAATATATGTGAAATTAAAGAACTTATAAGATTTTATAGCTATATTTATGCAACCAGTTACGCACATGAAAGGCTCAAATATTCTGGCGCCCAAAGCACCTCTCAGTATTTCGCAAACCGAAAAGAAAACTCCTACAACCTAATCTAAGATGATATTTTTTTTAGCATAAGTTAGGTACGAACCACATACTTATAATAGGTATACGGAGCAAGAGAGACGTCCGACCTGTTTAACAAAGGGGCGGCCATTTTTATACAAGATTACTAGTACATAGGTGACCAAAAATACAGCAATTTGAAAACTTGGTTGCAGATGTCTAGGTCTTTTCACTTTTAAATACATCATTTTGTACAGATTTTTTAAAAGAAATAATACAATATTATATCTGAATTAAATTTTTATTCTACAACAAAAAAAAAATATTTTAATGTTTAAAAATACATGTTAGGCTGATAAATAATAGGCCGACAAATAATAGATTAAATACTAATTTTAAATGACAAAAGTACAGTAGAGGAAGTTACAAATATTAAAATTTCCAGGATACTTTAAAATTAAATTGATGGTTGCATATTTGTTTTATTTTAAACAATTTACTTTCTTCTTGTATAATTTCTAAAAGCTACAAATTTTTAGTGAACGGGTCGTCCTTATTGATTCTGCAGTGAATTGTACTAACTTAAAAGAAATTTTGTCCAATCACTACCTATATGGCAGATAACCACAATAAGGAACGATCTGCTTGTTTTGGAACCCTAAAATAATATAAAGGCACTTCTTTCATATCCTTTATTTTTGCTAAATCTTATTACTTACTTGTGGAATGTAACATTTGAATCTATTGGCAACAGTCTATTGGCCCAGTATAGAGAACTTATACTGGGATTAAAGTCTATTCACAAATGGTAAAATAAATAAAACGTTTATACACTTAGAAAATAATATCCACAATGAAAATATTCTAAAAGAACACAAAAAAATTTAACCAAATTCACAAACACATTAAAATTTGACACTTTTGACAGATGGAAAGATAAATTGGTTGCATAAGTTTCAGTTTGTTTATATAAAAATGGCGGTAATTTCTATCTTCTTTTATTAAACACTCAGTAAAGATGCGCAGAGGGTTTTACGCCGTATACCTATTTAAGTATGTGGTACGAACACCACTTTAACCTTGTTCAAAAGAGAACGACTTGCAAGGTCAAATAGGGTGTTTATCAACCCCAAAGCGAATCAAATATCTCCGCTCTTAGACATAAAAACATTTTTTTTCTAGCATAAGTTAGGTACAAGCAATTAAATATATTAAACACATTTTTTTTTTCAGATGTGAAGCGGTATCTGCTAGCGACTACGTAGAATTTTCAAATTATATATCGAGAGATAGAAAATTTTCGAGATATTGCGGCCAATTAAAGGAATTCGATGTAGAATCCGATAGACACTTTTTCAGGGTAACTTTTCGATCCAACGACCGCCTCGACGGCACTGGATTCAACGCCACCTATCGGTTCGTGGTCGGAAAAGAGGGTAATAGCAAAAAAACAACCAATAATATCAATTCATCGACTTGGGAAAAAGGTATCTTGTATGACATTTACAATTAAAAACATTTCAATTTTTTTATATGATTATCATATTGTAAAACATTTTTTCTGTTTCAGGTACTTGCCTTTTGGTACTCTTCTGCATAATTTCAATGACCAAAATTACTACATAATCATACACGAAAATAAACAGGGAACACTGAGCAATATTTTTTCATAAATCAAATCATTTGGTTTCAAATCAAACGTAAAACACGTAATTTGTAATATATTTATTTCAGAAACGAATTAACGTGAAGGAAGACTGTACATATAAATATTTATGTTATGTTTGTCTGTTTAAATTTGTACCTAAATAGTAATATAGTGTTTTATAAAAATCGTTTTAATAAGTTTTTAATAATATGACGTCATGTCAAGTTGAAATTACTGATCGCCAAAAAATGCCTAGAAAAATTATTTGACAAGAAAATGACAGATGACAGTTTGTAAATAAAGATGAAAAAACTATTTGTATTTATTTGAATGCTGAATACTAATTTCTAGAAAAAATAAGTTATAACTGAAGTATTTATCCATATTCGATGAAATTTCAATACGAAACTACTTTAGTTTTTATATCAAAGGTAATTTTACAATACGTTCGTAAATTAATATACATAAATAATTATCATTTCTTAGCATGCCTGCAGAAAATATTCAATACTCTGAGAAATATACCGATGAAAAATATGAATACCGACACGTAATTCTGCCTCCAGATTTGGCCAAATTAGTTCCTAGGCCGCATCTCATGACAGAGACTGAGTGGAGAAATTTAGGGGTGCAACAGAGTCCAAATTGGGTGCATTATATGTTACACACGCCTGAACCTCATGTATTACTATTCCGAAGAGCATTGAGAGCTAACGCGCACCATGAATATTAGGAAAATAAAGTTTTTCTATTTTGAAACTAATGTGAATTAAATGTACCTAATTTAAATATATAAATAATAATTTTCATCTATTAGACAATTGACAACATTTAAATGAGTTATAAAACTTTATAGGATACAAACTAAGAAAGTTAAAATATATAAATAAGAAGATATATATAACAAAATATGAATAAAATGAAAATATACATCAATTATATAATATTTGTATAGCTCTTTTAAGAGCAGAAAGAGAGTTATGGACAATATTAATATTTCGATGATGATAGCTAAATGTAAAATTTTGAATATTGTTTAATTTTGTCTATAGTGGTATACGAAATACTTTAACATTCCATGTACATATTTCATTTACTTTAATAGTTTGGAATTTGATATAATACCATTTAAAATTTTGCATGTTTAATTGGAGAATATTTTTCCAACTCAGTTTATGCTTATTTTGAAATCACTAATCTGCAAAAGTTTTTGTTGTATCTTCTCAATGTAATTAATGCAAGTAATATAATTGGGAGACCAGACATACTACTTTTAACCCAATGATGGACACTGAACAACACGAATACAATTGATGAACTTTGGAGAGGTAAGGACTTTTTTAGCTCCCCCAAAGATAAATACATGTATCACATTTTTGTCTTATTTGCTACATTTCAATAATTTATGTATTACATTTTACATTGCTGGATAATAACTAGACAAATAAAGAGTTTTGCTGGACAAATACAGCGTTTTGCTATGAAAGATCAAATCAGACTTTAAAAATGCTGTACAATGCAGGAATATGTTGTAGATATGGTCACCCTACTTCACACACCATTCTATTTAAATCCACTTGTATGAACATAACATTTGTTTCATTGGAAACTGCTCTAAATATCTGTATATTGTCAACAAACTAATTGATTCTGATTTGCAGTTGCCATATTTAACATTGAATTCCAATTGAGTATAATATCTCCAAACCAAACCCATATCCCCTTAGTTTATGTCATGATTGACTGTGTCAAATGGTTTTAAAAAATCAGTAACAACAGAGTCAACCTGATGCCCTGATTGTTATCCCCTCTTAAGTTATTGTATAATAGAAGGTAAGTTGTAAGATTTTTACTTGTCATATATTTATGAATAGTTCTAGAATTACTTTTTATATTAATTTGAGTTTGTTTAACGTAGTTTCCTGCTTAGTTGCTTACAGAGATTTCTAATTTCTGAGAAAACGAAATGGTCATTATGTTCGTGGGCATTTTTTATATATATAAATAAGATTTTTATGTTCTGCATTGAACCACACAGGAAATGTTGAAGTTTTGAATCTTTATAGGAATTAATGATCTTAAGTAATACGTTATAGAAAGCTGAAGAGCATCCCAGTCTATATCTGCTAAATAATAATAAAGACCTTCATAATTTCCAGTTTTAAAGTCTATGAAATATTCTTTATAATTAAGAAATTGAGGATCATTTTCATTAACAGTATATCAAACTTTAAATGATTAATAACATGTCTTTGAAATCAGCCAACTCAAAAACCTGAATTGTCTCATTAGAAAAAATTAAATAATTACATTCCTATTCGGAATATGATGAAAATAAAAAGCCCTTTATATCTAAGACATTTTTTATTGAATGCTGCAATACATTAATCTATTGCATCTCCTAAAAGATATACACAATGTTGACACATCTTTTTACAAATAGACTTGTGTGAAGTTAGCGCCCGGCGCTGGCGCCCAAACTCAGCGCTCTACCCCCTCCTCCTAACCAAGTTCACACAACTAAAATTAATTATTGCATTTATTTATAATGTTTCTAAATTTATAGGAAAGTAATGTTTATGATTCGAGTTTTGATTAAACGGTGTGGTTTGTAAAGTTTCTATTAGAAAGAGGTATATTTCAAAATTTGCCGTATGACAGCGAATAATGGAAAAAAAGGTACCCTTTCAGATCTGAGTTTGTCACAAAATTATATGTCTAAAACCACTGTCGTCTTCTCAAAAAAACACCCTTTATAAAAAGAGGATTACTTAAAAAAAACAAGAGGAGTGACAGATTACGACGAGTAGATATATTATTTCGTAAGGTCTCATGCAGTAAAAGTTTAAATATTTTAAACCCCTGGCGTCTTATAGAAAAACCACCCTTTATAAAAATATAAATTATTATTTTTTTTTTTAAACTATGTCTCGTGACAGATTACGATTAGAGGATGTAAGAAGGTCTTATAAGCATATGAAATATAAGGTCACCTTACAGTAAAAAACTGAATGTCCTAAACCCCTGGCGTCTTATAGAAAAACCACCCTTTATAAAAATATAAATTATTTTTTTTTTTTGAAAAACTATGTCTCGTGACAGATTACGATTAGTGGATGTAAGAAGGTCCTTATACGGTCACCTTACAGTAAAAAACTGAATGTTCTAAACCCCTGGCGTCTTGTAGAAAAACCACCCTTTATAAAAATATAAATTATTTTTTTTTTGTGAAAAACTATGTCTCGTGACAGATTACGATTAGTGGATGTAAGAAGGTCCTTATAAGGTCACCTTACAGTAAAAAACTGAATGTCCTAAACCCCTGGCGTCTTATAGAAAAACCACCCTTTATAAAAATATGAATTATTTTTTTTTTTTTGAAAAAACTATGTCTCGTGACAGATTACGATTAGTGGATGTAAGAAGAACCATATAATGACACTTTACAGTAAAAAACTGAATGTCCTAAACCCCTGGCGTCTTATAGAAAAACCACCCATTATAAAAATATGAATTATTTTTTTTTTGAAAAAACTATGTCTCGTGACAGATTACGATTAGTGGATATAAGAAGAACCATATAATGACACTTTACAGTAAAAAACTGAATGTCCTAAATGGCGTCTTATAGAAAAACCACCCTTTATAAAAATATAAATTATTTTTTTTTTTTTTGAAAACTATGTCTCGTGACAGATTACGATTAGTGGATGTAAGAAGGTCCTTATAAGGTCACCTTACAGTAAAAAACTGAATGTCCTAAACCCCTGGCGTCTTATAGAAAAACCACCCTTTATAAAAATATAAATTATTTTTTTTTTTTTTTTGAAAAACTATGTCTCGTGACAGATTACGATTAGCGGATCTAAGAAGGTCCTTATAAGTTCACCTTACAGTAAAAAACTGAATGTCCTAAACCCCTGGCGTCTTATAGAAAAACCACCCTTTATAAAAATATAAATTTTTTTTTTTTGAAAAACTATGTCTCGTGACAGATTACGATTAGTGGATGTAAGAAGGTCCTTATAAGGTCACCTTACAGTAAAAACCTGAATGTTCTAAACCCCTGGCGTCTTATAGAAAAACCACCCTTTATAAAAATATAAATTATTTTTTTTTTGTGAAAAACTATGTCTCGTGACAGATTACGATTAGTGGATGTAAGAAGGTCCTTATAGGGTCACCTTACAGTAAAAAACTGAATGTCCTAAACCCCTGGCGTCTTATAGAAAAACCACCCTTTATAAAAATATGAATTATTTTTTTTTTGAAAAAACTATGTCTCGTGACAGATTACGATTAGTGGATGTAAGAAGAACCATATAATGACACTTTACAGTAAAAAACTGAATGTCCTAAACCCCTGGCGTCTTATAGAAAAACCACCCATTATAAAAATATGAATTATTTTTTTTTTGAAAAAACTATGTCTCGTGACAGATTACGATTAGTGGATATAAGAAGAACCATATAATGACACTTTACAGTAAAAAACTGAATGTCCTAAATGGCGTCTTATAGAAAAACCACCCTTTATAAAAATATAAATTATTTTTTTTTTTTTTGAAAACTATGTCTCGTGACAGATTACGATTAGTGGAAGTAAGAAGGTCCATATAAGGTCACCTTACAGTAAAAAACTGAATGTCCTAAACCCCTGGCGTCTTATAGAAAAACCACCCTTTATAAAAATATAAATTATTTTTTTTTTTTTTTAAAACTATGTCTCGTGACAGATTACGATTAGCGGATCTAAGAAGGTCCTTATAAGGTCACCTTACAGTAAAAAACTGAATGTCCTAAACCCCTGGCGTCTTATAGAAAAACCACCCTTTATAAAAATATAAATTATTTTTTTTTTCTGAAAAACTATGTCTCGTGACAGATTACGATTAAAGGATGTAAGAAGGTCCTTATAAGGTCACCTTACAGTAAAAAACTGAATGTCCTAAACCCCTGGCGTCTTATAGAAAAACCACCCTTTATAAAAATATGAATTATTTTTTTTTTGAAAAAACTATGTCTCGTGACAGATTACGATTAGTGGATGTAAGAAGAACCATATAATGACACTTTACAGTAAAAAACTGAATGTCCTAAACCCCTGGCGTCTTATAGAAAAACCACCCATTATAAAAATATGAATTATTTTTTTTTTGAAAAAACTATGTCTCGTGACAGATTACGATTAGTGGATGTAAGAAGAACCATATAATGACACTTTACAGTAAAAAACTGAATGTCCTAAACCCCTGGCGTCTTATAGAAAAACCACCCTTTATAAAAATATAATTTTTTTTTTTTTTTGAAAAACTATGTCTCGTGACAGATTACGATTAGTGGATCTAAGAAGGTCCTTATAAGGTCACCTTACAGTAAAAAATTGAATGTCCTAAACCCCTGGCGTCTTATAGAAAAACCACCCTTTATAAAAATATAATTTTTTTTTTTTCTGAAAATCTATGTCTCGTGACAGATTACGATTAGTCGATGTAAGAAGGTCCTTATAAGGTCACCTTACAATAAAAAACTGAATGTACTAAACCCCTGGCGTCTTATAGAAAAACCACCCTTTATAAAAATATGAATTATTTTTTTTTTGAAAAAACTATGTCTCGTGACAGATTACGATTAGTGGATGTAAGAAGAACCATATAATGACACTTTACAGTTAAAAACTGAATGTCCTAAACCCCTGGCGTCTTATAGAAAAACCACCCATTATAAAAATATGAATTATTTTTTTTTTGAAAAAACTATGTCTCGTGACAGATTACGATTAGTGGATGTAAGAAGGTCCTTATAAGGTCACCTTACAGTAAAAAACTGAATGTCCTAAACCCCTGGCGTCTTATAGAAAAACCACCCTTTATAAAAATATAAATTATTTTTTTTTTGTGAAAAACTATGTCTCGTGACAGATTACGATTAGTCGATGTAAGAAGGTCCTTATAAGGTCACCTTACAGTAAAAAACTGAATGTCCTAAATCCCTGGCGTCTTATAGAAAAACCACCCATTATAAAAATATGAATTATTTTTTTTTTTGAAAAAACTATGTCTCGTGACAGATTACGATTAGTGGATGTAAGAAGGTCCTTATAAGGTCACCTTACAGTAAAAAACTGAATGTCCTAAACCCCTGGCGGCTTATAGAAAAACCACCCTTTATAAAAATATAAATTATTTTTTTTTTTTTGAAAAACTATGTCTCGTGACAGATTACGATTAGTGGATCTAAGAAGGTCCTTATAAGGTCACCTTACAGTAAAAAACTGAATGTCCTAAACCCCTGGCGTCTTATAGAAAAACCACCCTTTATAAAAATATAAATTATTTTTTTTTTGAAAAAACTATGTCTCGTGACAGATTACGATTAGTGGATGTAAGAAGAACCATATAATGACACTTTACAGTAAAAAACTGAATGTCCTAAACCCCTGGCGTCTTATAGAAAAACC